GTTAGCAGAAATACAACGAATGGTGAATCTTCAGGTTCTGCATTGAATGTTGACAACAGGGGAAGAAATCTGGGCAGGAATACAAATAGAGACAGATCTAAGTCCAAGAAAAGAAAGCCCAAGTCAAGCAGAGGAGAATGTTAGAACTGCGGTAAGAAAAGACATTTCAAGCAGGACTGCAAAGCTCCAAGGAAGGTTGATGGTGGAAAACAAAAAAAAAATAGTTTTTCTACTATTGTCTCCATGGTAAAATCCAAAATGACTCACTGGTGTCATCCCTAACCAGCACTGAATCCCTGATAGTGGATTCAAGTGCCTCTTTTTATGCTTGCCCCAATAAAAAGGTAATTAAAAAATATACTCAGAGTAATCTAGAGAGTTGAAAAGAATAATGTTGATATCGAATTGCCAAATTGAGCAATTTGGAAGCTTATTAAGTCAGACATGTTCCTAGTTTGAAGAGAAACCTTATCTCAGTGAAAAGGCTGACAAAGTAATAAGGGGCATTGGTGATAGCTCGAGGCAACATTGAAGAAATCATTTATCTGATCAATGAAATGATTGATTTTATTGATGAGGCTAGAACCAGGGTAGATGCAAGTCTGTGGCACCATGGTCATATGAGCAAGAAATTTATGAAACACCTACTTTCAAGGATAAGCTTCAGGGTCTGAAATCAGTTGAGATGGATTTCTGTGAATATTTTTTTTATGGCAAGTAGAAGAAAGTTTCTCTCCAATAAAAAAATATTCACGGAAACTTTCTAGTTCAGAAGAAACTGAAATAGAGCATACTGACGTAAAAAGTAGAGAAACTTTCTGTGAATATTTTTTTATAGCAAGTAGAAGAAACTGAAGTAGAGCATACTGACGTATGAGGTCCTACTCTAGTTCAGTCCATTTGAAATTCTCGTTATTTTGTCATATTCGTTGATAATCACATGAGAAATATACTGATTTATTTCTTAAAGCAGAAATCTAATGTATTTAAAGTCTTTAAGAAATGAAAGACTATCGTAGAAAATGAGACAGACTTAAAATTGAAGTGTCTCAGATCAGATAATAAAAATATCATGATTAAAAATTGAAAATTTTATGTGCTATAGAGAGGGTCAAACATGAGTTCACTATCTCAAGGAAACCGCAACAAAATGGTGTAGCTGAGCGCATGAAGAAAAAAATCATGGAGCGTGCTATGAGCATGAGAGTGCATGCAGGCTTACCAAAACAGTTTTAAGCTAAAGCAATAAACATTGCAGTTTATCTAATCAACCGTAAGTCCATCAGTACCTTTGGAGGAATGCTTACCTGAAAAAGTCTGGAGTGACAAAATGTATGTCTATCTCATTTAAAAGTATTTAGGTGTTAATGTAAGCTCCAGAAGAAAGCTTAACTCAAAATCTGTCAAATTACACCTATATTGGATATAACTCAGATAAGTTTAGGTACAAGTTCTTGGATTATCAGAAACAGGGACGTCACTTTCAACGAAATGGAGATGTACAAGAACAGGGTAACTCAGGAGAGTCTGTCAACTACTTCTAAATAATCCAGATATGTGGAGATAGATAATGTTGGTGATCAGGAAGATGGAAAAAAAACAAGTTCTCAACCAGAAGGAGCACTAGAATTTCCTCAGTAAACTGCTACAAAAGTTAGAAGATCCAGTAGAGTGAAACAACCCATATAAAGGTATTCTCCTTCTTTACACTATTTATTATTAATTGATAGAGGTGAACCAAAGTGTTTTGAGGAGACCACTCAAGTTGAAGATTCAAGGGAGTGGGAGCTCGCCATGGATGAAGAAATTCAATTTTTCAAATTAAACTTGGGATTTGATGGTACTACCAAATGGCAAAAGAGGACTTCACAACAAGTGGATCTACAGGCAAAAAAAGGAGTCAAATGGTAGAAAGCGCTACAAGGCAAGGTTTGTTGTGAAGGGTTTACAACAAAAGGATTAAGTGGATTACACAGTTCTTCTCCCCAGTGGTGAAGATGACGACTATCAGGGTTGTGTTGAGTATGGTAGCAGAGGAAGATCTACATCTGAAACAGATATATGTAAAAGCAGCTTTCTTACATGAAGATCTTGAGAAGCTATACATAGTGCAACCATAAGGTTACAAGATTTCAGTCCAAGAAGATTTGGTCTGCAGATTGAAGAAGAGTCTTTATGAATTGAAGCGAGCCCCGAGACAGTGGTACAGGAGGTTTGACAGGTTGATGTCAAACACTAGGTACATGAAGTGTCAAACAAACCACTGTTGTTTCATCAAATACTTCGGCAATTGTTATATTTTGCTTCTTTTGTATGTGAATGACTTGCTGATTGCAGGAGCAGATATGAAAAAAATTAGGGACATGAAGAAACGGCTATCAAGTGAGTTTGAGATGAAAGATTTAACTACAACCAGAAAGATCCTCGGATGAGAATCAACAAAGACAGGAGTGCAGAAACACTAAAGTTGTCTCAGGCAGAGTATGTTGAGAAAATACTACAGAGGTTCAACATGAGTGAGACGAAATCAGTTAACACTCCCTTAGGTAGTCACTTCAATCCATCTAAGGAACCATCGCCAAACTCTGAAGCAGAGCAATTACAAATGTAGAAAACTTTGTATGCTTCAGCAGTTGGAAGTTTTGATAAATGTGATGATTTGTACCAGGCCAAATATTGAATATGTAGTGAGAGTGGTCAATAGGTACATAGACAGTCCAGGCATGCATCATTGGGAGGCAATAAAGTGGATTCTCATGCATTTGAGAGGAACAATCGATAAAGTTGTTTCACGATAGTTTTTTTAACAGAAATTCTCTTGAATGTTTTAGTTTCTCACATGACATTGCTCGGTTTGTCTCATACTCTAACATATCACATGTATACGAAGCATTCATTATATATTTGGACATTGTCTCTATACTCAAGTGTTGGAAGACAGCTAAGGAGGATCCAAAGTGGAAGGTTGTTATGTTGGAGGAAATTGGTGCTCTCAATAAGAACAAGACGTGGAAGTTGGTGTTGCTACTAACAGAAAAAAAGATAGTCAAGTGCAAATGGGTCTTCATAATGAAGCGGACCCCATAAGAAAAAATTGGTCCTTACAAAGCACGATTGATGGCGGAAGGCTATAATCAGACATATGACATTAAATATGATGAGACATTTGCACCAGTGGCAAAGATGAGCATATTAATGATACTCGTCTCTCTGTTGTGAATGGTGAATGGATGTTACACTAACTATATGTGAAGAATGTATTTCTTCATAGGGTTTTCTAGAGATGTACATGGAGATACCCTCTGTCTTTGGCACAACCAAACTGTAGGCAAGGTATGCAGACTAATGAAGTCACAGTTCGGTTTGAAACTATCTCCTAGAGTTTGGTTTGAGAGGTTCAGTGGAGCAATAGTCGGCATGGGCTATCGACACATCAATGTCGACCAAAGTATGTTATCGATGACATGATGGTCATATTATTATTTTTTTTGTAGATGTGGATGTTATGATTGTCATCGATGATTATGAGAGAAAGATTGTTCAACTAAATGCATGTCTGGGCAAAGAGTTCGAGAAGGACTTGGTACACTTTAAATAATTCTTGAGATTGAGGTGGCTCGTGGAATAGAGGGGATTGTTTTATCTTAGAGGAAGTATGTGCTAGACTTGCTCACAAAGACATGTATGTTGGGATGCATGCCTGAAGTTTCACCAATTGATCAAAAGGCAAAATTGAGCACATAGACAGAAGGGAATATTGATAGTGAGAGGTACCAAAGGTTGGTAGGCCGTCTCATCTATTTGAGTCACTCGTCCTGACATATCATTAGCAGTAAGCGTAGTGAGTCGTTGCATGCATGATCCGAGGAAAGGTCACATGGATGCAATGTATCAGATTCTAAGTCACCAGAAAAGTGCACTAAAGAAGGGGTTGATCTTCAGAAAAAATGGGCATTTAGGCATTGAGGGCTACTATGACTCTGATTCGGCAAATTGTGCTAATGACAGGAGGTCCACGTTAGGATATTGCATTTTCGTAGGAGGCAATTTGGTCCCTTGGAAGAGCAAGAAACAGTCAATAGTTGCGAGGTCAATGGCAGAGGCTGAATACAGGGTCATGGCCTTGAGAGTTGTCGAGATGTTATAGCTGAGAGCTTTACTGATAGAGCTCAAAGTGGATCAAGGAGCTCAAATGAAGTTGTGGTACGACAACAAGTCAACAATCAACGTTGCCAACAACCCAGCGCAGCACGATAGAACCAAGCATGTGAAGATTGATAAGCTCTTCATCAAGTAGAAGCTAATAGTGGACTACTAGAGATAAGTCGTATAGCTACTAGAGAGCAAGTAATTGCTACCTCACAAAGGGACTTAGCTCATTAGAGCTATCGAGGTTGTGTGACAAGATGGGCTTAGTGGACATCTTTTGCCTATCTTAAGGGGGAAGTGTTGAGAATTGTATATAGTTTAGGGTCGTATTAGTAAATAAGAAATATAGAAGACGTCAAGGGTTTTACTTATATAAAAAGTTGTCAAGCTATATATAAACCAAAATCTTTCATGAATAGAAGAGATTCTTTGAGCAAAAACATTTCAATTAAACCATTGTAGAGATAAAATTACATGTTTGAAGACATTATGTCATGCATTTAAATCAGCAAAGAAATCAGCATAATTGTTGATATGCATACGACCATGGACCACGTATGTCTTTAGCTACATTTGAGGGGGAGAAATTATTCTCCCTTAATTATGCAATTGTATGTTTTTATTTCTTTTTCCTTCTTATCATGAAGTTTTGACTGTCCATCCAACTGTATGAGGATTAGTCTGAGTTGTAAATATTTATTATCTACTTGTATTAGTTTAATGAGAAAATTAGAAAGTTTTTCCTCTAAAAAAAGCTCATCCTAAATTCCATAATAATGCAGTGTTTAATTAATAAAGGGAACAGCTCATAACCTCAAACTGCCTTATTTAATGAAACAATCAACGCATACCTCAGATTCAAGCAGTCTACATGCTGACTCAAGACAGGCTTCAAGTGCTCTGAACTCAAACGGCAACACTTTGGTACTTCCATTACTGTATGCATCCAAAGCGAGCCCGGGGCTGCCTGATTGTGTTTGACTAGTTAAAACAGCCTTAGAAGTACCATCTGCATCGCCTTCATCGGATTCTGTAACCTGCATAAAGCCAAATAATGAAGGATCAATGGATCACTACATAAAATGTCTCAAACCATCTTTTGTGTTATTTATAAATTAGAATACACACTCAATACAATAAAAATGTGGGTGAGGCATCAATAAGAAAGGAGAAATAATAAGACAAACCACGCAACATGTAAGGATTTGGAAAAAATAAGTGTCAAAATGGTCCCCTGACAATCTCAAATTCTATAAAAGAGTTAATTTAGTCCCTAGACTTGTTTAAAGGAGGCTAAAATAGTCCTTCAAGGGGATTATTTCAACCCGTATTATAAGAGCCTAAGAACTAATTTGGCACTTTATAGACACTGAGATAAAAATGACCCAAAGTAAATAGTCGGTAGACTATTTTGGAACTTTACTCTGGAAAAATTATAATTTCACAGAAGTGCATTGAAGGTCCATGACCAAACCTACAACATTTCAAATTAAATGGTTTCAAAACAAGTGGGAACAGGTGGAGGACCCAAGTGTTGCCTAGGGCCCACCCTGAATTTTGGGACTTCTGTGGCAGCTTGACCTACCCTAAATTTCGGACTTGTGTGGAAGGAGGTGGTAGGCGGTTCCACCATTTGCCCAACCCCCTCCTAAATTTAGGGACTTCTGTGGCAGCTTGACCCACCCTGAATTTAGGGACCTCTATGGCAGCTTGATACACCCTGAATTTCAGACTTCTGTGGAAAGAGGGCAGGCAGTTCCATCATTTTCCCAACCCCCTTGCCAAGCCTCACCCTACCCAAAAAAACCCACCCAAAGTTCGCCTTGGCCTTCTGCAAACCCAACCCCCATTCTTGGCCTCGCCCACGCATCACGCTTCCTACTTAGGGAATGGGGCCGCTCTCCCTCACCAAATTCATCCCAATCCAGCCAGCAACTGTGAGCCACCCCACAAAAATCTCCTGCCAGTGGCCTGAAGTTTCCTCTGACCTCTCTGACTCCTCTCACTCTCTACCTCTCGCCTAAGTCATCTCCGTCACCCCATCCAGCCAACGGCCATTGAGCAGAAATCGGCTTCTGGATGGAACACATCTTGAGACATGTAAGTCAGCTTCTATGGTTGTATTGGACATGTAAGTTGTCAGTGGATGCATCTTCACTTTTATCTTTTCCTGCTGCCTGAACTGACGAATAACATAATTTCTTTCAATTTTTTTTAAACTTCATATTGCAATTTTATGTTTCCTGGATGGAATGTTTCCTTTCTGGTTTCCCTATCTTATATTTTCTTGTAACTTGTAAGTTGGGCTCTCGATCATTTTTTTATCATTGCCAGCTTATTCCAAGATTAATGCAGATGTCTGGTTGGATAAGATTTTATTTTTAAGTTCTTGACAGCCTGCTACATAAGAACATCAGAGACGCTCATTTACTTGCTGATCATTATTTTTACTTTTATTGCTCTAGGGCTGCCACTCAATTACTGCATTCTCTCATGTGCGCCTATATTGCTTATATTGCTTTTTTCTTAGTTCTTTTAACCGATTATTACTGCTTCTTTCTTTTATCGTGATGATTCATATATGTAAATATATTTTTTCATGCTAACATGCAAATTTCTGCAGCGGTGTAAGTTTTAAGATGCTGTAACATTGCATTTGTGAACGTCTGGCTGTTCACCTTTTGATAAATGTTTTACAACTTCGTCACACCTGATATTAAGGATCACTAAATTTATCTATAGCCTAAAGCAGGATTCCAAAATAGATTCATGTGAGAGTTCCATTTTACTGTTATAATAACATAAACATAACCGCTAGTTGTTGATATCTTCATATATTTTGATATCAGCCTTGTATTGATTTAATTATTAATATTGATTTTTTTTTTGTATAAAGGTTTGATATATTGATTGTTATTTGAAAAGGAAAAAATGGTTATAAATTGATATTGATATTGATAATCTTTCGACTGATCCTGGATTTGTCCTTCAAACTTGAGTTATGATGTTAATGTATGGATAGAGTTTGAGTAGCGCATTTGCTCAAGGGACCGCATCAACCAAAAAGACATAACTTTCTCCAAACTATGATGGTAATGTTGCATGAAGATTTATTTCAAAATGAAATAAGGAGTATCCAACTTGGTTAGAGTATAGCATCCAGAAAAATGCAGCATATTGTCTATATTATTACTTATTTAAATCTTAAGAATAAGTTTCTACAAAATAGGGAGGTGGGCACTCATTTGCTTGTGATAGATTTAAAAATTGGAAGAGAAAAAAAAATTGATAGTGCATGTTGGTGAACATAACAGTGCTCATAACAAGGAAAGACAAAAATGTGATGACTTAATAAAACTTCAAGTACATAGTGTTTCTATCATGCGTTTGAGTAAGGATGAGAGAAATAAAAAATGAAATGTATGATCATGTTGAATGCAACACTTGATTAAGTTTGATTTATTCTAAGACAAGAATTATCATTTCGTGACGATGATAAATCAACTAACTTAGTTAATTAAGAAAATTATTTGGAACTACTTCAGCTTCTTGTGAATCATAATGAAGAAGCAAGAAAGTTAAATTTGAAATGTTAAAGTTAACTTCACCAAAGTTTCAAAAAATTATCAAGCAACTTCAGCTAAGTCTTTAACTTTTGTCATGAAAAATATAGGTAATTTAAAATTCTCTATTATAATGGATAATTCTCGTGATATATCAAAAAAATAATAATTAATTGTTGAAGTGAGATATGTCAATAAAAAAAGATAGGTTATTGAAAGATTTATTAGTATTAAACATATTTTCTCAATAAGTGCAGTTGTACTCAATTTAGCTCTTGATTCCATATAAACAAAATATTTATTGAACTTACATAGAAAACATGGCCAAGGCTATGATGGAGCATCAAATATGAGAGACGAATTTAATAGTTTCAAATCGTTTATTCTTAATGATAATTCTCAAGCATATTGCATTCATTATTATGCACGTCAACGTCAATTATGTTTGATTGTTGGAGTAAAAAATTATTGCAAGTAAAACATTTTCTTGAGTTCATTTTAAGAATTTTAAATTCAATAGGAACTTCTTTTTATTAGAAGTGGTGCTCTAAAAATCATTCAACATAATATATATATATATATATATATATATTGTGCATCTTAAGGTTGGAGATTTAATTAGTAGACGTTGTTTAAATCAATAAACTATTTTACAACGAGTTGGTAACTCGTTGGAATTTATATTTTTCATACTTTTGATTTGTCTTATAAAAATGAATGCATCTATGTTTGAAATACTTGAGATAGTTACGGATGTTGGAGTACATAATAAGTAGTTTGTTGAAGTTGACATTTTAATTATTGCAATGGAGTATCTTGAATTTATCTTGTAATTCATCTAATGAATGATATTTTCGGCATTATAAATGAGTTATTATAATCACTACAAAGAAAGAAAATATTAAGAGGTTGAGAAAACGCTAAGATTGGTTCAAGTGTCAGAGCAACAATTATAGACAATGTGAGAGACTGAATGGTATTGTTTATCAAATAAAGTCTCCCATTTTTGTAATGTTTTCAAGATTGATATTTTATATATAAAATGTGTCCTTAAGATTCATCATTGATCAATATGTAGAGGTGAAATAATAACAAATTTACACTAATATCATGTTGAGTTATTTTATAATATGATTGGCATATAATTTCAAGAGCTGAATGATCATTTATCTGAAACAAGGATTGAGTTGTTTCTTTGTATGGCATATTAAAACCTAATCAATTCATTCTATACTTTTAATAAAAGTAAATTGATTCGTCTTACAGAATAATATCATAGCACTTGCTCTGTCAAAATATTATCAGTGCTCGCTGAGAAAGCCGCAAAGAAGCATAACACTGAAAGTAATAAGCATAGAAAAAAAACAAGCAATCACCAAATAAAGGCAGCACAAGTTAAATTAGCCGCGCTCCATGCAATCCGAATGAAATTTAAAAACCACCCTCCAAAACCTAAGATGCAACTAAATTTCTGAATAAATAAGAACAAAATCAACAAAAAAACATGAAAACCCGACATTACCACATGATGCGGAGCCCCGTAAGAGCCGGACGAGACCCTCGCCTGCAAATCTTGCACAAAGGGAGCAACCAATGGATCTCTGGAATTGGGTACGAGCACCTCCGTCGCCGTAATCACAGCCTTGATATGCTCCAGATTGATCACGATGGCTCGCTCTCTCCCCAGTATAGTCGAGGGATACGATAGCTGGGGATCCAGCACCCGTAAATCTCTCGCCGGAAGCCCCGTTCGCCTCATGATCGAGTGCTTCCCAGCTTCTTCAAGATACGACCTCCCCGAATCCGATACCACCAGCCACGCCCGCATGTTTCCCGTCGCCTTCCTCCTCCCCCCCGGTTGCTGATGAGGCGCCACCACCGCACGGTTCAGGTCATCCTCCTCCGCCACCACTGCTTTCGAAGACCGCATGTCTTCTTCCTCGCCGAAGCGTTCTTCCTCGCCGTTTCGCTCCCTTCTCCTTTACTAAAAGAAGCGCGAGGAGTTCGGCCACGGCAATGGAACATATTTATACAATCACGTGTTCAGAAATCTAAAAATACTCCCGTCCTTTTTTCCCCGGCTTTTAATAGAATTTTAAATTAGAAAAATATTATATATATATATATATATATATA